TGTGTGTGCGTGTGTGGGATCGACTCAAAATAAACTACAGTGTGTGTTCATGGTAATAAAGGAACAGCCAGAGCAACAGTGAGGATCTCTGATGTGTTTTTAATAGTGTTTGGACGACAGTTCAGCCTGAAGGCTCAGACTGGAGTAAGATACATCAGGCTCTGGACACACACACACACACACACACACACACACACACACTATGACGATACATTCATTATTGGTGTTTTCTTGACGATAAGTAAAATGTATAGTGTCACCACCTTATTCTTTAAATGAAACTAAGAACACTGTGATGTAACAAAACTCAGCTAAATGTTCTTTTGGATGTGATATATAAAGAGACATATTGTAGGATTATTATTATCTCCTGCATCCCTGAGCGTGGATCATGGGTTTGGTCGTGTGTGTGTGCATGTGACAAATCAGCCTTATACTTTCTGTGCACACGTACGACTGTATGCTTTTGGACCTCTTGTGGTTTTGGTGATTCAGTTGTTGAAACGTCTGAGTTATTGAATGTTTCATATCGTCACTGACTCCTCCCTCCTCTGAGGGTCCTGACACACCGAGCCAACAGTCAGTCAGTGCTGGGCTGTCAGTTAGCATCTGTCACCATAGTTTTTGCCGTGTGTCCCACACTGTCGGCCCTTGTTGGCTTTTTGATCCGATTCGGCATCAGAGAATCGGATCAAAAATCACTCTGATTGGCCGTTCAACTTGGTGCACAAGAAGTGAAACGGAAGTCAGGAAACGACTAAAGTCAAGAGGGCGTGAGATCCAAACAGACTTCTTATATGAGTTTAGATTATTTTTCAGGTTCCTTATTGTTTGTGTTACTGTTCACTAGCACACAGTAAATATCACCTGTTCTTTAACCATCAGGCTAACTGGCTAACTAGTGTCTTGAATCTGTCCTGTTTTCCATTTTTAATGGTGATTACAGACAACCACCCCCTGCTGGTGCGGAGAGTTGTTTCCTCTCAGGCATACACACCTGCTAGTTGACGTTGGCTGCAGTGTTTGTGGTGTGTTGAAGTTAAATTTTTGGCCAAGACACAGGTGGCGCAGCAGTCGGCCTTGTCGCCGTGTGTCCGCACCTCCAACTGGGCCCAGAAATTGTCTTGGCTAAAACCTTACTGTCTGTTACAGGAGACACTTTGACCTTTGTCGTGGCACAAAAACTGACATGCATCGAAAAGTTTGGTCTCGTTTTGAACTGGAGAATCTGCAGATTAATCCCACATCAGATGTGTTATGATCCACTAAAGTTAGACACAATACGAGATGAATAAATCCACATTTTTTTGTGATCTGAACCATTTTGACTGTAAGGGAGGTGTTGGGGATGATGCCACCAGGCGAAGCTCTCCACTGTCCAGCTGTGACCTGGTTTCACTCCGTCTGCGGCTTGATATCGTACCACAGCAGGAGGGTTTCAGTAGCGTCGTGTTTTGCCTGCTCGGACTGGTAGTTTAGCAGATTTTGTTGAGTAAGTAGGTGAGGAAGTTAAGTGGTTTATTTTTTTGGTCTGTTTAGTCTTTGTTGTGCTGCAGCCTGCAGACAGAGTTCATATAATGAAGTCATTTTATAAACAACATGGATTAAAGATTTAAGACCGTACTTTAGTTTTGAATTAAAAATACATTCATCCTCATGATTATATTGTGCCCATATTTCACACACAGCGGCTGTTAACAGGAGAACTCTATCTGCTCGGTGTGACGCTCTGTAGCAGCGTCAAAAATAGATGAGGTGCATATTTTTATCGACCTCTGGGATGTTCTGCACCGCTGCAATCACAGGAGTCGCCCATGTTGGCTGCGATCAGCTCAGGTGGCCGTTTAGCCGCTTGGTGGAGATCTGCACTGTGCTGGGGAGCGCTCCTCTTGTTACTGATGCATTCATGAGTAAGCAGGATTTTAATGATGTACCTGGAGGTGGAGACGCTGGGTAACAACGCGGGATGTAAGGAGCTGATAAAAGGGTTTGAACAGTGATGAGACGTGTAAAACACTACTGGAAATCAAGAAGCATTTCAGAAGACAAGCAGTGACAGAATCAGGCTGTTGTGATCAGATAAATCACTTGAAGAAGGAGCTTCAGTCATAATGAAAGTGATCATCACGGTGCAGGGGCCTCGGAGAGCGGCGGAGCAGCAGCAGCAAACATCATAACAGATGTCAAACTGCTTTTCAATCACTTTCCCGGGCTTTTAAGCAGACTCAAAACATATGGGTTGCATCCATTAGTGCGACAGCCTGGGTTCCTTTCAGTGCTCCATTTCACTCTCTTCTCTTGGCATTATGTGCAGCAGCACGCTGTCACAGCACAGATCTCCAGTCATCTGGGCAACGGCTTTCTGTTGGAGTTTGGCTTCAGTGCAGAGCTGCAGCTACAGAACGACCACAAAGCCACAGTTTAACTTCCTCTTACATCTGCGTGTTTGTGTGTGAGTGTGAAAACTGTTGTGGCTGCCGCTCACTCACTGCAGCTCGTTGGCCTGCGGTTCCCTCGGGTTGGGGTTTGGTTCCAGCCGGTTCACCACAGCTCTCACTCTGCTTCACACTCCTTTGTCTCTGCCTCCCCGTCACTCCTGGAAACACCCAGAGAAAAAGTCCTTTTTACTGAAGTCCGGAGGCTGTTCTCCTCTGCAGCCTGAGAGTCAGTCAATGAGCCACCTGTTTGGTCTCCCTCCTTGTTTAGCCAGAGCTCATTTAGAGCTGCACAGCACTTTGCCACCCTGCGGTAATGACACAACACATTAGCTTTCACACAGCCTGAACTGCAGATCTGAAAACTGAGCACTCAAAATAAAGAAATCAGACGTCTCAGGCGAGCTCAGAAACATCTTAGTGTTAAAATGAGGATGTTAGTGGATGATCCGCAGAGGAGAGGAATAAAGACTTAAAGTTTGCTTTAAGAACTGTTTCTATTAAACTTTAAAGACTTCTGATTGACGCATTTTGTGTTGTGAATAACAAACATTCTGCTCAGTTAAAGCAGCCGAACCTGAATGTGCAAACGTCTTCAACGTTCTGCTGGGATCGACTTCCAGCTGTCTAGAGAAAACCTGTTTTCTTTTGATGTTGATCTAAAATGAAGCTCACATTAACTGGACCTTTTCATCTTAAACTACGTTCACATTACTCTTTGGCTCTTGTGACATCGATAAACACAAAAATCGGCCCATTGTATATGCAGTCCCAAATCTCACCATGTGACCACTGTGTGAACGACCGTATTGGAATTCATGTGTATTTTTGCAAACATCCACGGTGTCATACTCACTGTCAGTGGCGACCCGTGTCATAGGCAGTGTGGGCGAACGCTAAGGCCAGTGTCGTCTATAGGGGGCGCCACAAATGGGAGAAGAAAACAAATCAAGTCATTAACTCAGCTGCTAGCTGTTAGCAGTTAGCAGCTAGTTATCAATACCTTTCAGCAGCCTGTAGAAACAACCAACAGCTCACAGGGGGTGCATTGATTTACATTGTGAAGCGTTCAGGCTCTATTCAGTAATAATGAGCACTGGGTGAATGTAAATTATAATGTTCTCATGATGTGTTCACTGTAACTTGTGAAATATAGCTTCTGGTGAGAAACTTGAATAAATCAGCTGCCTAGGGCACCAGATGTGTTCGAACCACCACCGCCTGTCAGTGGACGTACATTTACGTTGCTGCTGGCTGCAGCCTGCTCGCTCAGTACTGGACTTATTTCAAATTTTGTTGTTCCCACTGGTCACTGAGAAACAGAAACCTGGGAAAATGAGGTTCAGGTTGAAAGATGCCACATTTACCCTTTAAGACGTCTTTATTTCATAAAAGCTGTCTGATAAAACATTTTGTCCCGTTGGCCTGTCGACATGGCATTTCTAAATATCCTGTACCTTTAAATAAATCCACAGGACGACACGCCGAGCTAAGAGAAGCCAATTAAAACAAAGGCAACAAAAACTGAGCAAAAGCAGCTGAAGGGTTGATAACGACACATTCAGGCCTCATCAGAACCATTAACCAACCTCTGGGACGCAGCGTTTTCAGCCAGCAGCATCCTTCACTGATTTATACTTTACTCAAGGTACCAACACGCCTCACAAAGCTCCACCAGGTCCCTCCATCAGCCCCTCCACCAGCCCCTCCATCAGCCCCTCCATCAGCCCCTCCACCAGCCCCTCCATCAGCCCCTCCATCTGCCCCTCCATCAATCCCTCCTCTTCCTCTGTGGCTCATGCAGTTCCTTTGTTGCTTGCTCACTATAATGTTATAACTCACTATGTCCTAACTGATGGTTTATCAGCATCTCACGAGCCGTGCCAAGCCAGCCGGCCGTTCACTGCTTGGTAAAAAAAACTCTTGGTGCTGGGTGTGTGCGTGTGTGTGTGTGTGTGTGTGTGTGTGTGGGTGTGTGTGGGGGGGGGGGGGGGGGGGGGGGACAGCAGTAGCAGGCAGTTAAGAAACTCATTACCTTGCAGCACATTATGGCCAAAGAGCGTCACCATAATAACTTTACTCACACTGCCAGTTTAGCCGGGTTTACTCTCATTTGTGACACCTGTGAGGCAGCTCTGTGTGTGTGTGTGTGTGTGTGTGTGTGTGTGTGTGTGTGTGTGTGTGTGTGTTTGCGCATAATCTGTGCGACTGCCTCCGTATCCTCAGCTTAATACTGTCCCCATTCACTGTGCTGTGCTGATAGCGTAGCTTAGCCTCCAGCAAGCACAGCAGCGTCGTACAGCTGTTTAGTGCAGGTATAAACGATAGGACTTCCATTAAGAGGATGGAACACATTACAGAACGGCTTTATTACACAGCTGGGCGCCGCTGATTCCTGATACAGCCTCACGTTTACTGCCAACATGTAAACTGTTATGAATATTATTGTTGAAGCGATATCTTTATATAATATCTCTCTCCGTCTCTTCCTGTCACTTCCTCCCCTCTCTGCTTCCTGCTATCTTCCCCCTCCGTCTCGTCCTCCCTATCTATCTCACTATAAAGCAACAGTATTGCAGCATCGGCGGTGTGTGCCTTCAACCTGAGCGCCATCACTCAGGCCTTCAACGGGCCCTTCCGCTCCCAGGAGAACCCTCGCTCCACATGGCTCCCCACCACCAACCCTATCCACAACTTCCAGGTTAGTTTAACACTTACAGAGAAACTTTTCAGCCAGTTTTGTGTCATAACAATGTGTGTGTGTGTGTGTGTGTGTGTGTGTGTATGAACTGTGTGAATGAACTGTGTGAAACTTCCCTCCATCTTACCAGCACCCACATCTCCCTGCTCATCTGCCAGCAAAAATCCACCATTTTTGCAGCTTGTACTTGTACTTTGTATTCGTGCTGCCACCAGAGACACAAAGAGTATAAAGCAGACAGAACTCAAATGTTAAAACTAAGCAGAGCTGATCTAATATGACCCGTTGATTATTTCCCGCCTTAAATGATTCAGAAACTCTGTTTAGCTATAATACAAGAATGCTTGCTACCAGCAGGTTGCTAAGTTGTTTTCAGAAGGGCAGCCTGCATTACGTCACCTACTAGTGGGAGCTTTGATTGGTCCGGTGCGGCGCAGTGCATTCTGGTAGTAGGTTTTCTACCTCTAAATCTTTAATTCTACCACTCCAACAACCACCAACTGTCACTCAGGAGGCCGGTGTTCACTTCCTGTAAGATTGTAAAGCCAAACCCTGTTCTTTTTTCCTAAACCCAACCATGTGTGTGTGTCGGCTAAACGTAACCACGTGTGTGTGTTGGCTAAACGTAACCATGTGTGTGTGTGTTGTTGAAGGAAAAAAAACATCAGTTGATGGTGTTGTACCAACGTAGTGCTTTTATTTTGAAAGAGACTGTATCAAACTGTACATTTCCTGTGAAAACAGAAGTGTATTTTGAAAACAGACAATGCATGTAACAGGCTGAAGTTGACACGGCGTCCCAGAACGTCAACAACCAACACACCCAGGGTACCTTGGATGCCATATGTGGACGTGGAAAGTCCATGACCAAACGTGGACATGTGACGAGGTCACAGTGAGGATGATGATGCCAGTCCACATGTCGAAGTTTCCTTGGGCAAGACACTGAACTTCAGACTGCTCTTGATGGCTGCTCCATCAGTGTGTGAATGTCTAAAAAAAGACTGAGTAGCAGTAGCATCTTGTACATTAGCCTTCACCAGGCACGCTGAGAGGTGGTAAGAATAGAACGGTGCTACAGGCACAGGTCCATTAACTTACCTGCAATGCTTGAATAAGAAAAAGAGTATCTGTCTTAAATTTGGTCTCAAAGGTTTTAAAAAGCATTAAATGTAAGCGTGTGATACCTGGAGACAGCCTGTTATGAATCCATGTTGGTCTGAAAACAGTTGAAGCAGCTGTGACAGAAACCCGTCATGTTTTAGAGAGGTGCTGTTTGTTCTCTCAGAGACAGAGAGGAAACAATTAGACTGTTTTTATGCCTATATCCCAAAATCACACATTTGTCTCTGAAGGCTTTTGAATCTGTTCAACATACAAGAGTTTCTATCCTCAGACTTTGATTTGGATAAAGAACATGTCCGCCGTCCGGTCCCTCCAGGAATTTATAATCCTGTGATCACAAACAAAAAGCATCTAGCTGGAAGAGCGCTCTGCCAGTCTCACTAATCACTGCAGTTTTCTGCATGACGATAATTCACAACCAAGTAATTGAAATCAAGACTCAATCTCAACAAATCAATTTCCATGTGACTACAGTGGAAGTGATTGTGTTGTCTCAGTGTTCCCAGGCTGCATCGCTCCAATGTAAACTCTCTAAATGACATGTTTTTAATTTAGAAAAACTCAACCATCTTAAATCTGATATGTAAAACCAGTTGGTGTCTGGAGCTCGCCAGCGTCGCCACACAGCATGATGGGAAGCTCTGAAGAGACCGGTCACTGTCTCACAAAGAAAGAAGTGATAATAATCCAGACATCAGATACGTAATAATGTGTGTAATCGTTGGGGTACTTCCAAAATCATCTACTGTTCAAATATCAACCAAAAATGGAACCTAGCAACAAATCAATCTCTCATTTCAGGAGTGAGCAGAAGCTGAACATCACAGCTGAGCCGTGCGGCCCAAACAAAGCCTCAGACGGCGTCATTTCACAGTTATTCTGCTGCACCGTCTCATTACGTCGCCGCGTTGTCGCTGTGTCACACTGTTGTTTTGTTCCCCCGAAAAAAGTTGCAATTACTGAGAAAAGAATTAAGAAGTGAAACAATCGACCCAGAGAAGTTATTGATTTCATAACTGCGATGAGTCTGTGTGTGTGTGTGTGTGTGTGCGTGCGTGCGTGTGTGTGTGTAGTTTTTATTCTCTCTGCCTTACCGTCTCATTTTCCTGTGTCCATGTCCACACACTCCTCTGACACGTCTCTCTCCTCTTCACTCCTCTCAGTGTGGTACCATCGATGACGAGGGTCCTAACGAGGGTCTGACGGAGCGCAGCCTGCAGGACGCCCAGCGGCTCTACCTGATGAACGACGTGGTCCAGCCGGAGTCTGTCGATCCGCTGGTCATGCAGGACGACGTTCGCTTCTCCAACCTGGTGGTGGACATCGTTCAGGGCATGGACACCCTCTACCACGTCATGTACATCAGCACAGGTCAGGAGAAACACACTGAACCAGATAAATGACACGAGAAGACAGATGAAGCGTGGACCTGAACTCTAACTTAACTTTGTTATCCTCCCGTCCAATCAGAATACGGCACCATCTTGAAGGCGCTGGCGACGCCCAATAAGAACCTACAGGGATGTTATCTGGAGGAGATGGAGCTTCTTCCGTCGGGGGTGCGAGAGCCGATCCTGAGCCTGCAGATCCTGCACAGCGACAGGTCGCTCTTCGTCGGGCTCAACAACAGAGTCCTGAAGATCCCGCTGGAGAGATGCTCCACCTACAAGACTGAGATGTGAGTACGAAACAAAATCTCTGCAGGACCATCATACTACAGATCTCAGATATCACAGAAACTCAAACTGAGCCATTCCTAGAATTTGGATATGGAGAGAATGTTGACTTTATCAGAAGGTGGAAAGATTTGTGTAGGTACAAAGAAAGAAAACATGCATCAGGCTCATGGTGACAGAGTTAGCTTTAATGTTGATAAAAATCGTGGCTGAATTCAACAGGTTTGTCGACTTTATAGAGACGTGAATTTCCTCCTCTCCAGTCTCACAGATGGGACTTCATTTCAGAGAAAACATGTACGGTAGTAAAAGTAAGAGACATTTTTTGATCCAGTTTGAGGTGTGCTATGAAACACACACATGATGTTTGTCAATTTGAAAGATAATTGTGCAAGTCAGGAAAGTCTCAGTTTGACTTTGTTCCATTTAGTTTTGAATGAAACTTCTCAGTTTGTTGGGGAACGTAGCTGTGTTGGACTTAGGCACCTCACTCAAAGTGATTTTTAGACTATGAGTCACATTCACCCGTTCACACACACGTTCACACACTGCTGACCGAGCAACACGGTGCAACCTGTGACTCAGTTAACTATTCACACTCATGTTTGTTGTCGATAGCCACGACCTGAGGCATTATTTTTATTTATGTATTTGTTTTTATATTTAACTATTAAATTAAAACAAGGTCACTTAAAGAACTTGTTAATGTACGTATAAAACACAACAAACCAAATGAGGATAATTCAAATGTTACTATTTTGCAGTTGTTGTCAATTAAATGAATATACTTCACGATTGTTGTAGGGAAAATCTGTTCGATGTGAAATATGGAGGAAAGAAATAAAAAAAAAAAAAGCAGTAAATGAGAAATAAATAAAACAGCAAACGCCACAGCTATTTTAGAAATAAAAGAGGCACATAAATAAATAAATATTAAGATATTGTAGTTTGGGCTTCAGGCGTTATGTTTTCGGGTTGTTCGTGTATCTGTGTAAGAGCAGTCGTGTCCCAAATTTGGCACAAAGGTCCACCTGGATTCAAGAATGAACTGATGAGAACTTGAGAGAGAAAGCCATGTCGTCATTTACTAGACTTGTGTCGTTGCTGTAATTAGGCTACGTATTTTCCTGTACTTCAAAAGTCTTAGAACAAACTGCGACTTTCTCAACATGCACAATATTCTCTTAAAATTATGCGTATGTGTATTTCGTGGCACAGTTAAAAAAAACAGTTCCTCGTCATTACCTCCCGTACTTATTTTTCAGAAGGTCTAACGAGGCGTCTGGTGGTTCGCTGGCTGTGATTGCAGCGTCCCTGGTCGAGCTCTGGAAGGGACCTCTGCTGCATGTCATTCCTCTTTTCTCTTTCCTTTTGTCACCTCTGCACCATCTGCTGCGGCTGTTGTGAGACTAGCAGAATAAAGTGATGATCCACGAGAGGAACAGTTAGTCCAGGCTTTGCGGGAGCAGCCGTGCGGCGTACACAGTGTACCTTTTATTGTTCGTTTTATGCCTTCTGGCAGTGGATTCATTTTAACCTGGTTGGTCCTCTATTGAAGGTAATTATCTGTCCTCAACCAGGATTAATGTCTTTAAGACCTGGCCTATAATCATTAAAGTCCGTATGGAGGCAGACAAATGACTGGGGCGGTATCTGCTCACTGGAGGAAATTAATTTGTTGTGCTGGGTTTTTTTCCTGGTGATGAAAGTTGTGCATAAAACAGAAAGAGCACAGTTCTGGCTTTTGTTTGTGTCTGAATCAGAGGACAAACAAAAAGTGTGTGTGAAGCTAGCTCGTACGCTGCCAGAGAACTTTTTCTGAAGGCGTGTGTGTGTGTGTGTGTGTGTGTGTGTGTGTGTGAGAGAGAGAGAGAGAGAGAGAGAGCGAGCTCTGCCATCTCCAGCTTCAGCGTTATTCATGTGAAAGTCTGCGTCTGGAGGGTGAGCGACGAGAGGAAAGCTCACTGCTGTTTGTCCAACCTTCTGTATCTCATTAGTGCTCTGAATCAGGATCCTCAGCCGGCCACCTCAGTCCCTCAAAGTCAACTTCATTTTAGCATACAAATGGCTCGCTGCTATTTTCACTGTGTGTGTGTGTGTGTGTGTGTGTGTGTGTGGAGGGCAGTCTACTCAGTGTGATTTGTGTGTGGGTTGGTGCTTGGACGAGTTCTCATATGCACGCTGCCTGATGAGTCAGCTCGCTATTTCTACTAAATCCAAACTCCTAGACACATGGGAGCAGACACACACACACACACACACACACACACACACACACACACACAAACACACCAGCGAGGGAAACTATTGCATCTAATAAGATGTGGGTGAGATATGCACGATGAGAGAGACACAGAGAGGAACAGGAAGAGCGAGCAGCCACAGTCCTATTTAAGACACCATGGGGTGAAATGATTGAAATGATAAGAAGAGTGGGCTTCAAGGGCACCGGGTGGGCGGGGGGGAGGGGGGGGGGGTTCTTGTTTAATCCAGACTGTGATATCCTGCTCACCTCTGCGGCTCGTTTGCTCGTACAATCTTTCAAACACGCCGCAGCCGACGGCAAACAATGCTGCAGAATGTGACAGATGTCAACCTGTGCGTCACTGTGACACCTGAGCTCGTCTGCAGAGACCGAGGCGAGTGAAGTGCAGACGGGTGATGACAAGTCAGGACATCAATGGAAGACTTCACCTGCAAAATGACCATTTGTATATAGATTACTTCACACCTGTTAGCTTAAAAATCTGAGAGAAAACTTTGTGGTGAGACCTAAACCTGGCGTGAAGTCTTAATAAATTAAAGTAATCCTGCTCCAAATGTAACAAGAGCAAAACTATATCAAAACATCTGTTCACACACTCTCACACGTCTCCTGCAGTTTAATCCAAGTCTCATTTATCCAGTCATGTTTAGCATCTCTGCTGAAACATTAAGATTTAAAGCAGGTCAGACTGAACAGTCACTCATAGGTGGAAGTGTTTTATATTTCAACACTCTAGTGAAATGCATGTGTTTGGTACGTACTGAGCATAAAACTGGATAAATGAGACCTGGATTAAACTGCAGGAGCTGTGTGAGACTTTGTAAACAGATGTTTAGATGTAGTTTTGCTGTTGTTAAGGCCTTTTGGATTCTTCTAGGAGGCACGTGAGGAGAACAAAGCTCTCTTAAATAGGCAACAGACAGCATCTTTTCCTTAATATATCATGATGAAAATAATGTGGGTTGCACAGGGTAGTGTCCACAGTAAAATCAGACTATCAGCGTTTACATAGGTTACTTAGTGGCTGTGCAATCTTTGTAATAAGCTTCTGCCACCGGTGCCGAAATTTCGCGGAAAAAATCTGCTTTACGGCAGAAAACGTGTCATGTATTGTGAAACTGGTCAGTCAGCCAATCAGGGACTGGAGCTGGTCCTTATGAGGAGTTGGGCATGAGATAGTTGAGTCACGAGCACAATGGCAGACGGACAAAGTTTGGAGACAAGTGAAAAACGGCCTAGCAAAAGAAAAGGAGCTCCTCTGTTTGAGGAGGCAAAGAAGAGCAAAAAGGAGAGTGATAAAAGAAGAGGAAAAACAAGAGTAAAGGTAGATTGTTTTAACACACACACGTGCAAATTGTCATCTGTTGTTATAAATAATAATATTTAAGTCTTACTAATGTCAAATCCTCATCTTCATCAACTTTTCCTGAACTGTACCTGCTGTCAGCGGAACTATTTACATCCAGCCTTCGTGGTTTATTTGGGGTTACCTTGGAGAAAGAGTAGGATAGCGTCCACTGTGGACGGCTTCAGCTCTGTCCTCATCTGTTTGATGCTTCTTGCAGCGACACTAAACTTCCTGCTGCTGCTGCTGCTGCCAGTAAAGGCAAGAATATCCTGAGCAAGTACACCGAGCTTCGAGTAACGTTAAAGCTCTGCTAGACGTCCTCCATCATCAGCTACATTACATGAATATTTACCTGAGATAGTGTTGTCATGTAAATAACAAACCCAAGGATTGAACAAGAAGTCGCCCAACACAGACAGAAAGTCGTTTTTAGGCCGGACCTGAACATCATCTGAAAATATTTGTCTGAACCCAGCCTGATCTGTCGGGTCCCTTCAGGCTCTAGAGGCAGCCACAGCGTCTTAACAGACAGAGAAAATGTCTGGAATGCAGAAGTACATTCAACAGTCTGGCGAGGACAGAATATATGTTACAGGGCTGTTGGCTAAGTGGGAACATGTACAGGCAGAGGAGGTCAGGTGAGGGGGAACGTCGGGAACACGGGGTGACTGTAGGGTGAGGCTGGCAGGATGTGAGACGACGGCTGAGTCGGTACATGGCGGGAGAAAAAGCAGACAGGGAGAATGTGTGAGCAGTAAATTGGCTGATGTAACAGAGAAAAGCAGCAAATCTTCACATTGGAGAAGCTTCGCCAAGAAGGCGCTTGTTTAACTGTTGTGTGTGTCTCTTACAGGCAAACACACACACACACACACACACGTTCTTACAGCAGAAGGAGCAATTAGCCAAGGAAAAGTTCTCTTAGCTGATAGATATCGACACAGAAGGGATCTCTGACTCTTCGATGAAGGGGGTAGCCGCCTGCTGAGCCTCATCTTCTAACACTTTGTCGATCTTTGTATAGAAGCGACTCCGTCAGTGGAACATCAGACGTCTCACAGCTCTGTTGTTGTAAACAATGTTGAACTAAAGCAAAAGTTTCAGAAAAAAGAATCTGACAAGACAAACTTTTACAACTATCACTGCTCTGTCCTGTTGCTGAATTCTACTCATCTTTGGGACTAAACTAGATTCAGTGTTCTTTATAAAATCTGACACCAGTGGACACAACTGAGAGTGTTATGGAGCGTGAAAGCATTTGTTCCACCTATGCATGAAATCCATATCTGCTGCTCTTCTGCAGGAACACAGCAGAATTTATGAATTATTGACCAACTGGAATCTGTGGAGGCGGCGGGCCACAGCCAACAGTTTCTCCTCTAAAATGT